CCAATGGAGGAGCAACTATCAGAAATTTACACAATTGGCATTTTTTATGAATTTTCAAGATGAGCTAAGAGCCTTGGTATCCTGTAGTTTTTTTTTTCATTCATAGTGATGGAAATACATCTAACTTTTAGCTATGTAAAAAGACCAGAGAGAGTTACCTCATGCAGTGCCGCTCTTTTTCTAGTGGGTTTAAGGGGCAAGAAGGTAACTTGGGTCGAGTCTAACTCCTAATACTAAACATCACATAACAGCCTCAAAAGTCACACAGAACACCAAAATGTCACATACAAGGAGCAAAAGTCACACAGCATACTAAAACATCACATAACAGCCTCAAAAGTTACACAGAATACCAAAATGTCACATACAAGGAGCAAAAGTCACACAGCATACTAAAACATCACATAACAGCCTCAAAAGTCACACTGTATACCAAAATGTCACATACAAGAAGCAAAAGTCACACACCATACTAAAACGTCACATAAAAGCCTCAAACGTTACACATCATACTAATGATCATATATCTTCACATATAGCTCACACAACAATCCAACAAATGGCACACACAACTAGTAAACTAGTTATCCTTTACATCATAGCGTTTAAACAAATGTTACAGTTACATGTAGAGTCTAATACTTCCACTAAATCATAGGTACATCACTACCCCCAAAGTACAAAAAATATTCTGGATCATCACTGTCTAATTTCAACCGTAGTTTTTTTCCATTCACGCCCTTCACATATGAGTTGAGTAGCAAGTCCTACTCGTAGCATATGCGACTCCATGTGCAAGGCTTCAACGTTCATTATCTCCCTTCCCTTGAGGATCGTCTTGATGAAAAAATACGCATGTATGCCATAATCATACCTGTAGAAATATAACATAACACTTAATAGCAGGATATGTAACTAGTAACAAGAATATAACACAGAGAATGTAAAAATATCACATCATAACACTTAATAGCAGGATATGTAACTAGTAACAAGAATATAACACAGAGAATGTAAAAATATCACATGACAGCCCCAAAAGTCACACAGAATACTGAAATATCACATATGGGCCCCAAGAGTCACACAGAATACTAAAATGTCACGTAACAACCACAAAAGTCACACAAAATACCAAAATGTGACTAAATGCAGCATAAGTCACACATCATACTAAAATATCACATATGAGCACCAAAAGTCACACAGAATTGAGCTGTTATTGTATCAAAATCATCCCCCAAATGATTTCAACCCATCAAATAGAGTATAACTCTCCAAACCTACAACCTAATTTTCTTCAAAGAACCAACAAATTAATCTAACAACATAGCAATCTGCAGTACAAATCCTCTGTCCTGCTATTATCAACACCATATAATTCCGATGAATTAGTAGAATTAGGGGAGTTGGGCTCATCAGAAGACTGAGCCTGCTCTGGACTCTTCTCATCAGAAGCCTTCTCAATTCCTTTCAAAGCAACCAGCCATCTCCTCAGCAGCTGAACTCTCTCATGCCCTCTACAAGTCATCGCAGCTTCTTCCAGCCTTCTCACTGTCTGATTAAAGCTCCTATAGTTCTTCATTCCCTACAAACCATTCAAAAAAAATAAAATTACAGTTCTTTTTGCGAAAATTTTGTCTTTTTTAGCTTATTGCACTTCAATGTGCCCCAAAAATTTCTCTTTTCTCACTTAATGGTCAAATTTTGGGGGCATTAAAGTGCAAATTAGGGCAAAAATACCATGCGATCTTGGAAAATGTTGGCGCTGCCAGCGACGGCCTGGCCGGCGTGGTGGACGACGGTGTCGGCGCCATGGTTTCTCGCATATCTCTTCATCTTCATCCATGCTCAACGTTTGATTGAGGAGGGGGAGGGATCGCGGGGGATTTGTATGAGGAGGGCGAGGGCGGCGAGGGATTTTTGCTAGGAGGTGAGGACGGCAAAGGGGTCGGAGGGGGAGAGGATCGGGGAGGGAGAGGTTGAGAAATGGCGGTGGTGGAGGCGGTGGAGGCGGAGGAGCGTTAACATTGGCTTGAGCAGCTTTTAAATTGGGAAGAAGAAGGGTAAATTGGGAAGAGATTTTCTTGGGCAGTGGGTTTTGGGGTTGGTTGCACATATCTCTCAAGTTTAGGGCTTTTTGGTTATGGTCTTTGGGCTTGGGGTGGGGATGCATGACCCAATTTAATTAGGTTCCCCCAAGCAATTTTCCCAAGTTTAAATGGTTTGTTGAAGCATAGTGAAGATACGTATGCAAAACATTAAATGGGATACTTGTTCAGAAATACGTACGACTTCTTACTTGCTAAGGATTGATATGAGTTCAAAAGAAACTATAGTGTGTTTTTATTGATAAACATTTGTAATTTGCTTATTGAGATAAATATGAGATTTGATTGTGATTGATACAAATTCCTTGTAATTAGTCCTTTCCTTATTGTATTTACCATATAGGGCTAGGTTGTACATTTATATATAGAACCTTTGTAAATCAGATTCATCAGTGAGATAATAATCAAATTACAATTTGGTATCAGAGCAAACAACTCTCTCCTTTTTTTCCCTTGGTCGTAAGCCCTAGATCCCATGTGCCCTAGTTCCATACGCTGCCCATTGGCTTCCCCTTTGACGCCCTCTTCCTCCTCCTCTGCAACCTCCAATCCCGATATGGTTAACTTTGACCCTCATCCTCCCGCTGTTGTTTAGAATGCCCATCGCTACCTCACCATCAAGCTTACCCCCACACAACTACCTCTATTGGCATACCCTGATCATCCCATACCTTACTAGCCAAATGCTTATATAGGATTGGCTGATGGATCACGTCCTTCCCCTCCACCCCTGGTGACTCCTGCGAACTCTTCCACCACGTAGGTTATTCCCAATTTTCTTCTCTAGGAAGAAACCAATCAACATGTTATCACAATTCTCTTCTCTTCCTTGACTGAGGAGGTTTTCCATGTGACTATTAGAAAAAAGACATATGTGGCGATCTGGACTGCCTTGGAAAAGGTGTATGCCTATGCTTCTCAAACTCAGATCTTGACTCTTCATGAAGAACTTTATGAACTCTGATAGAAAAGTGACTTTGTCACAGCCTATCTCCATCGTGCTAAGAAAATCACAGACTCCCTTGCCGCCATCGGCCGTCCTCTTACGACCGAGCAACTCAATGTGCACATCTTCAAGGGCCTTCGTCCAGAGTTTGGTGATCTCAAGACCTCTCTCACCCTTCGCAAAGAACTGGTATAGTTTGAAGATCTTAACTCCCTACTTCTTTCTCATGAGTTCATCAACAAGAACGATGCCTCGAGTACCGACAGTCCGCTAGCCTTTTATTCCGCCACAACCAAGAGTCTTCCCATGGCTAAGGCACACCCTTGCAACCTCCTCCCTCTCTCGGATTCATGCCCACAGCTGGATTATCTCCAAGGCCTTGGTCACGTCACCTCAGGCAGCGACAATGTTAGTGTCGGCTTCAGCGCCTAGAAGAACAGTAGCGAGTGCTTCTAACCCTCGGCATCCTCGAGTGCCAACCCAACCTAGCAGTTTGGGCCTCAATAGAGTGGTGGACATCAGTTTAAAAATCAACGTGGTGGTGGTTGTGTTAAAAATTGACGTGATGGTCGCAATCATGGTCATAACTTTGGCGGTGGCTTAGGGGTTCATTGTCAAATTTTCTAAGGCTTCAACCATACTGCGCTCTAGTGTTTTCAGCGAGAAGTCATTGGACCTCAGCCCACCATTCACTATATTGAGGCGCGTTCCAAGTTATCTTAGCAATCCAATGTATCCCTCTGGTATCTGGATACAGGGGATACCAACTATGTGACTCCCGATATTACTAGCCTTAACACTCGAAGGCCTACCAAGGTACTGACACACTTCACATAGGTAATGATAAAGGACTTCACATTGCACGTATTGGTTCATCTATTTTACATACACCGTTTGCTAAATTTCGCATGCCTAATATTTTACACGTTCCTTCACTCTCAAAAGTCTTATTATCTAGTCTTCAATTTACTACTGATAATAATGTTTTCTTTAAATTTCACCCTTTTTTTTTATTGTGAAGGATCGACTTACCAAACAGCCTCTCCTTACTGGCCCGAGTGAAAATAAAGTTTATTTGCTTCGTATTTCCCCTTTCCATTCAATAAGTCCTACAACTCGACTAAGCGTGCCTCACTTGCAATTTAGCATTATCGGTTGGGTCAACCATATGGATAGTTGATTAGGTCTATGATTAATAAGAATGCACTTCCCTATTCCTCTAGTTCGGTTGATTATTTTTATAATAACTGTCAATTAAGGAAATTGTCGAAGTTGTCTCTTTCTCCGTCTCGATATACTAGTAATTTAGTTTTGGAACTTGTTTTTAGCAATGTTTGGGGGCCTGCCCCAACTTTATCTAGTGCTGGTCATAAATATTTATTATTTTGTTGATCACTTCTCGAAGCATATCTAGTTTTATCCTCCCTATAAAAAGTCTAATATGTCTGGTATTTTTCCTAATTTTATTTCTATGGTTGAAAGTCTAGTTGCAAGGCATGTGAGGTTTGATGAGCACACATTTCTGTTTTGCTATCCCACACCCGTACCTTCCCCTCTCGAACACACTATATTGCCTGGCCTTTGTCCCCCATAGACTGTTCCAGTCCAGTCCATTGGGCCGCTCTTAGGCAGCATAGCTGGCCCAGGAAGCCTAATGTCAGGTCTTGCCTCAACCTAAGTAGGTCGCGCACTTGACCTCCACTCGAGCTACTGACAGGCTGAAGGTTTGGCCTTGCTTCCCTCCTTCTCAGCCCAGTAGTCCAAGGCCACTCCCTCTCAGTCTTCAACCCCCTATTGTCAAATATCTCCAAAACCCTGTCCCTACCCAGATATGAGTCGCCCCTTCTATTTCCCTCGCCGCACTAACTAAATCTCACCCAATGCAACTATGTGCTAATTCAAAACCCAAAGTCCTTTTCTCTCCATCGGCCTCCCTTAGCACGATGTCCCCTACTAGTAATGATGATGTATCAACATCCTTTATTATTGCTGATAAGTTTGTTCAGTGGCGCAGGGCTATGGCCGACGAGTACGAGGCCTTTCTTCAAAATTGCACTTGGACTCTAGTCCCGATTATGGATTCCATGAATGTTGTAGGTTGTAGATGGGTCTATAAGATCAAACAAAAGTCTGACGGCTCCATTAAGTGCTACAAGGTGCGATTAGTTGCAAAGAGGTTCCATCAACAATTGGGTTTGACTTTGAGGAGACGTTTAGTCTGGTGGTCAAGCCGACGACCATTCAGACTGTTCTTTCTCTTACCATCTCGCAAGGTTGGCCACTTTGGCAACTAGACGTTCAGAATGCCTTCATCTTGGTTCAATTACTAAGACAGTCTACATGTCTTAACCCCCGGGGTTCGTTGACCCATCTCGATCTGATCATGTCTGTCATTTTCACCAATCTATTTACGGCCTGAAATAGACCCCTTAAGCCTAGGTCCATCGTTTGTTACATGTTTTGGTGGAAAATGGACTTGTTGGCTCGAAGACCAACTCCTCTCTCTCTTCATATATGCCCATGGTACAACTAAACTATTTATTTTAGTTTATGTTGATGATATTATTATCACTGATAACAGCTCAGACCATATTGCCTGTGTCATTTCAGCTCTCTCCACAGAGTTTTTCGCTGAAGGACTTGAGTTCTCTTCATTACTTTCTTGGTATTGAGGTAGTTCTCCGGTCTCCTTCTGTCCCAACAAAAGTATATCCTTGATATTCTCCAATGAGGAGGCCTTTTCGATGCTAAACCAGTGTCCACTCCTTTGTCTACTTCCATGGTGCTCTCTATGGGATCTGGCTCACTCTTCTCGGATCCTACCAAGTATCGTCAAATTGGTGGTGCCCTTCAGTATGTCGCGCTTACTCATCCCGATCTTGCCTTCACCGTCAACAAGGTCTGTTAATTCATGCACCAGCCTACTGATGATCACTGGATGGTTGTCAAATAGATCTTCTGGTACCTTCGTAGCACCTCCTCTCACGGCTTATTCATCCATCAAAACTCTCCATTCTCGCTTGAAGCCTATTGTGACTTTTATAATGTGGGATGTTCGGATGACCGTCGCTCCATCGGTGGTTTTGCCATTTTTCTTGAAGCCTATTGTGACTTTTATAATGCGAGATGTTCGGATGACCGTCGCTCCATCAGTGGTTTTGCCATTTTTCTTGGGCCTCTCGGTCTTCCACTGTGTCTGAATATAAGGCTTTTTCCGACACCGCTGCTGAGCTCATATGGCTATAGTTCCTCTTTCAGGAACTTGGTATCTCTCTCTGCTCCTCTCCAACTCTCTAGTGTGATAACCTTGGGGCCACTTATCTATCAGTCAACCCGGTGTTTCATGCTCGCACTAAACACGTGGAAATTGATTTCCACTTTGTTCGAGAGAAGGTAGACCGTCGTGATTTAAAGGTTCAGTTTATCTCCACTGATGACCAGGTGGCCGATATTCTCACTAAGGCGCTTCCATCTCAGTGTTTTGATTTTTTGCGGTCCAAGCTTTAGATCGTTCTTGCACTTAGTTTGCGGGGGAGCATTGAGATAAATATTAAATTTGATTGTGATTGATACAGATTCCTTGTAATAAGGCATTTTCTTATTGTATTTACCATATAGGGCTAGGGTGTATATCCACATATAGGACCATTGTAAATCAAATTCATTAGTGAGATAATTATCAAATTCTAATTTTGCTGTATTGAAGCTCTTTGTTTTAATTGTCATGAAATTGTTTGTCTAATTTGGCTATGGGGACTGCTTTGAACTGCTTAGCCAATGCAAAATATTGTTATATGTTTGCAAGTTTACTTTGATGTGTATTTTCCCCCCTCCATTTTATTCAAATTCACTTAGTACAGTTTCATTCATGTACATGTGTACCATCTTCTCACTTGTTATCTCCTCTACATGAAGAAAACAAAATCAATCGGCTGTCCAAATTTAAGCGCTTCTTCTATAAGAAGAGAAAAAACAAATGCAAAATCAAGAGCAATCAAACTTATCAATCAAATTGTACAACACCATCTTTTTGTTGAAAAAAATTAAAATACTATGTTGTACGTGTCATCAAAGTTAAACCACATTTTAAATCAACAAAATCATATTTATAAAGTTTTGCAAGAAGCAAATTAACTCCAAGTCAGCATCATGATAACAATCAAATTGTTGAATTTTTTGGTCAAAACCGCTTTTCAAAATGAGTTTATATATATATATATAAACTACAAGTACTTTTCATAAATTCTTAGTAGCCTAGTGGAAAGTTAATGTTTTGGTGTTTCAAAAGGTCATCTGTTCAAGGCTTGCCAACGACAAGCCGAGAAGTGTTTTATTTTATTAATCCCTCATAAGTTCTAGTGGGTCGTGGGTCTTGGGACATGGGCTATGGGCTATGGGATATGGGCTCTGGGCTCGTGGACCGTGGGTTCGTGGGTCATGGTCCAATGGGCTGAAGATCGGGGCTAATCGGGCTAAGGCGCTAAGTGGCGCTTTGTTAGGCGCACTTTGCACTTCGCACGAGGTTAGGCCTGCTTCGCAGCATGAGGACAAGCTACGCATTCGCACAAGAGTGTGATCCTAATGTTCTCGAAATCAGTCAAGGTTCATCTGATTCACAAGATCAGACGAGGTTCGCTCGTCAAATGAGGTTCACTTGTCAAACGATGTTCGCCCGTTCGACGAGGTTCACTTGTTAAACAAGGTTTGCCTGTTTGATGATGTTCGCCAATTTGCCGAGGTTCGCTCGTCAAATGAGGTTCGCCCGTTCGACGAGGTTCGCTCGTCAAACGAGGTTCGCCTGTTTGACGAGGTTCGCATGTTTGATGAGGTTTACTTGTTCGACGAGGTTCGCCTATTCGATGAGGTTCGCCCATTCGACGAGGTCCATCTTACAGACGATGTTCGTTTGATTTGCTGAGACATGACCCTCGCGTTTTGTAGTAACACGTTCATTGATTGCCAAGTATTCAGGAGTTACTGCATGTAGCAGTTACAATGACATTTAGAACAATTTAATGCGTTGATGTTACAAACATAATTGCTATTGTGAATTGTAACAGTCGCATTAATTTAGGGTGACTCTTGAGCTGGTCTTAGAGGCCTATAAATAGCGCCCCTTGGACAGCTCTTGGAGTTCACTAGAGAACTTGGAATACGAACGTTAGATCGAGAAGATCTTGATGTTGTTGCTGCTGTTGTGCTGTTGCTGCAGAAACTATGCCCGATGGAACTTGCCCTAAAACTAAAAGGTTTTGAACCGAAAGGTTCTGAGATCGAGGAGATCTTTGCCTTGACCGAAAGGTCTTTTAGATCGAGGAGATCTTGACAGTACTGAGTTGGTGCACACCAGAGTACTGTACTGCTATTCCTGAAAGCAGTTTGTCCTTGGGATCCTTGTACCGGAGTAGGCCAAATATTTCTTTAAGCACAACGTTTCACAAACGCATAACAGTTAACTTAAAAAAGTTTAAAATTACAGCACATCAATTTTTACTGTTTTATTCCAAATTTAACCATAATTTCCAACACTAATAAGTTGATCCAAACTAAAAAAAGAAGCCAACAACAATAAATTATGGAATTTTTAGGGTAGTGAGGAGGAGCGAGTTGAAGGCGCTGTCGATGGCGGTGAGTGCACGAGGATGAGCGCGACTCATTTCCGGTGGCATGTGAACGAGGGATGGTGTTGCAGGCTATACATGTAAGCGAGGCAAGCTTAGTCATTTTTCGTTTGGACTTGGGCAATAGCAAATTGGGTTCCTAGTTCCATACCCCTAACATTTTCCCCTTTTGATTTTAACAGCTGCCTTCATTTGTTAGACAAGAAGGCAATTCATCAGTTACTAAAATGCCCTTGCTTATAATCCAATTCATTGCTATTTTAATGCTTCCACCTCATTAATATTGTCCACGTGGATCCGACACATCATCCCTCCTGCGTTTCTGTCTCATTTTCAGATCCTTATAGCAATGCTCTAATTCACATTGAGGATGCATGCCATTGACTCTTGGGTTAATTGGGAACAAACGCCTTTAATATCACTCAATTATAAACAGACTTCTTGTTGTTTAATTCGTGAGAAGATACCCGTAGTATCGATTCAAGTGCAAGTATCTCCCACCTCTTAGTGAATTTTTTTTACTCTTTTAAAAGTATATAAAAAACATTAGCACCTTGAGGGTCTATTCTCCCTGATAGAATTATGGAGGGTCTATCCGCCCCTAAAAATATTTTTAATGATTTTAAAAGTAAAAGAACAAAATTCACTTATTAGTCTATTCGTACAAATAGAACTATAAGAAATCTATTCATTGTGTGATACTAAGAGGACCTATTTGCAATTAAGCCTTGATTCTTTATTCTAGTTTTTTTAGCTCCTTTGTTCCACTTGGTTCATGCTCGATCATTCCAATGAATAAAGAACTCCGCAACTACTTCCAAAATGATGCTAAGCATGAAGTAGTTGACACTTGGGGGTTGTTTGGTTCATTTCCATAAAATTATGGAAATGGATTCCCTCACAAAAAATCAATTCCAAAAACTTTTTAGGATATCTAAGGAATCCAAAACTTTTGTTTGATATGAAATAATAAAGTGAAGAATAGGAAAACATATCCAAAACTCATGTTTGTTTCATTTTCAAAGAATAAGAAAAACACCATCATAGAAAGCTTTTCTTGAGTTTTTTTTGTGTTTGTTTCAAAACCATAGAATAAGAAAGAACCCAAAAAAGATTGATTTAAACATACCTGTGGTAGAGTTACCACCCATTACAAGACAAATGCACTAAATATGTGCTGAAGACAACAAATATAAAATGACTAGTTTTGCAACGACTAGTTTTACAATGGCTAGTAGGAGTTGCAATAGAGCCTATAAATATTTCAGTAGCATAATAACATAAGTTAGTTCATTTCAGTATTTTTTTTGCAAGAACATCCTGGAGTATAAAATAGAGCAGCCTTGCTACTGCAGTGAAGATGGAGCTGAAATGTGATAGCAAACAAGTAATTGACCCATATGAAGTGAAGTATAAATGTAAGCTTACAACACCCTTGAAGCTATGTGCAAATGAGAAAAATAAAGGGAGACATTATTGAGGTTGCGCTAAATTTCCAAATAAAGAATGTAACTTCTTTCAGTGGGTTGACAAAGAGGGTGATTGCAGAAATATAAACCAAGTATCACAAAGTGAAGACATTCTTGAAGATAAAAAGTCAATGAAAATCAAAAGATTGAAGAGAGAATTGAAATCAGCAGAGCATCAAGTAATCATTTGGAAAATGAGTGTATTATTTTTACTCATAATTGGTGTACTCGTCATTATCTTTAAAAAGATGCCATGTAGTTGCAAAATGTATTGAGATATGAAAGGAAATTTTCATGATTGTTAAATAATGGAGTATAAGGTTCAGATTAAAGTCAGATTATCAGTATACAATGCCTCACCTAAATAATGTAATTGCATTATTGATTGCCTACACATGATGATTACCTCATCTAAAAATTACATGAGCAATTTAGATTGCAATCTCATCATGGTATGCCTTATCTAAATAAAAAAATTACAATATAGGCTGCATTAACAAAAATGACCAATCATCATTGCCTAATGCAAAAAACCCAAATTAACTTATGAAAATCATTATAACTTGTCCACAAATGAGGAACCAAAGTTTGAGAGAATGATCATACCAATACACACTAGTTTAGTTCT